CGGATAGAATAGGATGAGTACCCGGTTGGCCTCCTTCATAGGCTTCTATATGGACGTGAGGACCTTGAGATAGGTCTGGCCTGTTAACAAGAGGATATAACATTGGTCCAGGGAGTGAAATCGAGGACTTGGTTTGTCTTCCGTCGTCGGCTTCCATGTAGACATGAAAGCCTCGAAATCGATGTGGCCGAGTAAGGAAAGAATATAACAATAGTCAGATGAGTGAAGAAGAGGACTTGGTTTAACGCCGTTCTTCACCTAGCATATTAGTATGGGGCCTTGAGATTTGTATTGCCAGATAAGGAACATATGGACATATGGTGAATTTTGGAATAGTGGACATGTATTTTCGGTTTTTTTTGCCTTCTGTTGCTAATGAATCTTTTTAATGTACGACCGAGAGGTATCACAGACATGACGTTATATGCCCTTTGGTCCCTTCGGATAAACCTCTGTCTCCGCGATGTTTAGCTTGAATAGTTTCCTGGCTTTTGAAACCGTGGGAAATTTATCTGTCTGTACACAGAACATGTGAGCATGATATAATGGACAGTGGGGGACAATTCCAAATTGATGAGGCGAAAGCTTGCACACATATTGGTGCGCCACTTTGAAACGGTAAGTGTGCATTTTTTATGACGGATAAGGTAGTATTCACTGTGTTACGGTTGTGTGGAGTATCCAGATTTATGAATGCGCCCATGAATTACATCGGAAAGTAGCGATATGTTTAGCTTTACTCTAAGCAGCCATGCCGTGTCTGACTACAGCAATTCGCAGCGTTCAGAGTAGGTTTGCCTCTGAATAGATCCCAGGATCTGCCTTGTGACAGCACTCTGAACGCGCTCTTGTTCCGCTTTGTCGCTTTGCCTTGCATTGCGGAATACCCTGCAGCAGTACCCTAACATTGGGTTTGTGCAAGCCTTGTACATCATAAGTTTGGCACTTGTGAGCGTAAAGAGTGAGAGACAGTACATTATTTCTCTGGGCTTTGGCAACATTGTACTGGACGTATTCGGTGAAGTTAAGGCTATTGGACTATTGAAGCCCTAAATCTCTTACCATTTGCAAGAGGTTTACTGAAAAAGGTTGGCGGTTAGACCTTTATTTCATTTGCATGAGATATTGCTGTTTTCGATGGAGAAACTCATCTTTGAAGTGCAACACTACACTTCAAGTACATTCGAGTCAGTTTGTATGGTTCGAATAATGCACTCCATGTTCCTGGGGTCAAATGTTTACACAACTTTCATATCATCTGCAAACATGTAGGGCCTACCATAGACAATAATGCCAAAAAAATGCCATTTGTATACATCGCGAAGAGAAGTGGTCCCAGAATGCTGCCTTGGATGACGCCACTTGTTACCGGGGTGCGACAAGATGTGTAGTTATCTCGACTGCTTGGATTCTATCGGCGAGATTTGAAGAGAACCAAGAATGTAGCGTGTCAGCAATGCCATCCAGTGCTAGATTTGTCGGATGCCTACTATAGGGCAATTGGTCAAAAGAATTTGCATATTAAGCACTATGTTAATACAATCAAACCTGTCTATGACGACCACCCAAGGGACCGACAAAAGTGGTTGGCTTCGATAGCTTTATGCATATAGACATTATTCATGGGTGAAAACGTTAAGGATGCTTTTAGCTGGTCACCATAGACTGGTGGTCGCCGTAGCAGGTTGGACCGTATAAGCTAGACCAGCATCGACTTAGCTTGTGGTGTGGTTTAGGAAGTCTAGTTGTCAAGACTGACAAGAACGCTGTTTAATAATGTCAAGGTATGTTTGGCTGATAAAATTCCTCGTTATTATAAACTGGGAAATCATAGCGTTTACAATTCTTTCCATAACCTTAAGTAGCATAGAAGTATGACTGTTTGGGCGAGACTTTGCGACATCCCGTTTGAAACCTTCGTTATATTTTTGTACAGCATCAGCGTGTTTCCAGTGAGACGGAGCAATGCTGGTTTCCATTGACAAAGTAAATATCTTTTGCAAAAGGACAGGGAGATCCGGACCTTCAGTAAAACTGATGAAATATCCTCAGGACCGCTATATTACAGGACAGTGTCATAGCGCTGAGCGATTTACTTATTTCTGCTATGGAGAAGTTTACTGTCCACAATGTGTCCTCTGTAAGCTGTTTTGACGGTACGGTGTGCTGGTCATTTGTATTTTAGTTGAAGCACGAATGAATATGCTCGTTGAAAAGATTACTACTGGCTACAGGATCATCCGTTGACGTTGAGATGGGCGTGCATCACATTTCTGCATCCTCCTCTTCTTCCGAGAAGTTTTATAAGCTGCTTTCGGTTTATTCGAGTCTACGCGAGCACGGCATTCTTCATAACACTGTCTCTCCTTGTTCGACCAGATCCTAACTTGCAGATTACGTTATGGATCAGATATCGTATGGCGAAGTCATGGGGCTTCGCATAACAACCGACCAGTTTGCCGGTTTTTTTCGTTTAGCAAGCGTGCTGGGGCCAGCGATCACAGTGGTGTTGCGGCGTTTCTTTAGCAAAACTGGTGCGATATTATCTAAGCCTTTTTTCATATTATGCTATAAGATAGTTGCGATAACTGGGTCACATGTGGGGAAGAACACATCCAACTACGTAGTATTTACTAACGTTTCGAACCGTATGGCTGGTTGAGTATATTGTACTCGGCCTTCAATGCTTGTGCGGGTAAAATGCAATTTGATCACACTATGAGTACTGCCCGGACGTTTGTCCAGGCACTTAAACTTCCCATCGGGAATTCCCAAAGTAAAGACAAGTTCTAGCATGGTGTTGGTGACAAAACCTGCGGCGACCAGCCTTGTGAGGGGATTGTCGAAGCGAACTCAAACAATCTAGGTGGGGATGTATAAATGTGCCATGGTATTTCCATGCATATTAAAGTTCCCACGGACTAGTTTGTACTTAACCGGATGGTCTGTAGTGCAGTCGAATATGTCCACGAAAAGTCGGATTTCGGTTTTGCCACTGTGTCTGTGGGGAGGGGGGCTGTAGATTCACCCTATTTGGATGATGCGCTTATTTATCTCATCCGTTATTCAAACAGAGTCAGTGAAATCGTTAAGCATCGGTTCAACCAAAGGTGAGGCAGAAATTGTTTCATTGATGTATATCACGCAACCTCCTCTCTGACCATTGCATCGGCTATTCATGGAGCTAATAACTCCTGGAGTATGGCAATGTCTTTCTGGTATCTGGTCAGTAAACCACATTTCGGTAGCGAGAACCATTTGATCGTTCAACAGGTATGTAACAAGGCGAAGATAATGCATTTTTGTTGTTTAGGGAGGGAGCGTTAAAAAGAAGATTGTCTATAGATCCGTGTGTTTTAGGCAGGCCTATGAGTTGGCGGAATATGGATAGTTCATGAGTATATGTGGCGGAGGAGGTACCCATATTGGCCGAAGCATCCTGTTACGATCTATTGTATTCGCATGCAAACATAGTTCGATCACTCTCAACCCATCTTCTTCAGTACTGTCTAAACTTTCTGTAAGGTACTGTTATCATCTCTTCCATGTACGTTTCAATTTGGCCCATAAACAACTAAGCACACCTGCGATTTATAGGTTGTACACCGGTTTCTACAATTGTGTTGATCACGTGCAGAATAACGCGAAGTGTAGCTCCCACCATTTGCAGTCGAAATAGGCATGCCGCTCTATTCTGCATTCTCTGGTGCCACAAAGTAGCATATAAGAATTAGCTAGTTCACTCAAACCTACCTATTTGGTGTCTTTCCACCTGTCACATTCACTCTCGCTTTATTGCTCCCTTCGTGTGATTATTATTTGCTTATTCAACCTTTACCCTACTCAATCTGGTGCGAACGCCAGTTGCGCCAACTCATCCTTTGCCGAATGCAATTTAGTCATGGCTTACTTTTCACTCAGCTATTTCTGTCTGTTGCGGTTAATTTTACCGCTCTCTTTGTGAATTCAATGTCCTCAACCTATCCATTACCAGTGGTATTTCCCTGAGAGGCTTAAATTAAATAAATGTTTATTAAGCTCGCTATTAGGATATTGGTAATTGATACTCGGTTATTCTCTCCTTGTTCAGCATTTGGTATGCACCGGATGCCCTATTTGAATGTTGGGTTCGTATTGGGGCTTTTACTTTGCTTACTTTTCATCAGATGATCAAATATCATGGTCTGTAAAATGTTGCCGCAGTTTCTATTGCGCGCATGTCAACTGTAAACCTGATTTACGATTCGGATGGTTATCACTGGAAATCGCTGTAATATTCTGCGGACACTTGGTTGCATCGATTCTTGTAACTTCTTGTCAACCGTTAACATATCTTTGTAACCTTCGATGTGCGCTCCTTTTTTCTGCATGTGCGGCGTATTTTCCCTGGATTTTGTTATAACGGACTGGTCTGACAAATGTGATTACATTTAGGACATGAAATTCACTTTATGATTCCAAATAAAAAGGTCGGAATACACAAACTGTAAGATAAGGTCGTCATTCCACACCTACTTATCATCATATACATTCAACAATTGCTGGGCACATTGAGGACGGGGTCACGTGAAATCGGTTTGTGGCCTGGTGCTGATTGCAGTATGTCTTCAGTTAGCCGATGTTTCCCGCTTCTTAGCCATGTCTAGTTGCAAATCTGGCAACTGCTAGCTCCGTGGTTGCAATAACTCAGCTTATACCTTATTTGGGAAATTGTCTCGTATCGCATTTCTCCTTGATCTTATCTTGCTTCTCTGACCTCAATTTTCTTCGATTTTCTTTTCGTTCGTGCGGTCAGCGCGCGATGCATTCCACTCTTCCGAACTGGTACGCCTGCCAATCTCTTCTCAACTCTGTGCACGTTATAATATCTCATTTTGACACCGGTAACCATATGGCATTATTCCCTAGTTCCCATGCCCCTTTTGCGTGTATGCCTCAGTTCGCGGTTGTTCGCCTCGTGACGCCTCGCCGTGTTCATTTCCATCTTTTTCCCTTTTCAGAATCTGTTTGCAATGGTCAGCACTCAGACGTTGGCGCTCGCTCTATACACACATTGCCGGTCTGTGCATTGGATAATTGCACTTCCAGCGCCATTGTAAGTGTAATTCACTTCATGCCATCCAGCCGCCTGTGCCTCATCAAAACCCCTATGCCGCGTGTGTTTCTTGAAAACTAATAATTAATCAGAAACAGATGCGCATCAGTTCACATCTGTTTGCCGGACATTTGGCATTGCACTGCATCGCCACCCACAAATTTTGTTCTCCTTAATTGCGCTCCCGATTGCCGTTGACCACTACCACCATCGCCCGAGTTGTTCTACTCTCTGCGTTACAATAGTGCCCGTGTTTACCGATTGCGTGACCGAAACCATTTTAAATCCTTAGTTTGTCTGGTCACTTTTGGCGCCACAAGCGCAAATGATTAATTGTACTGTTGATCGAAACAGACATTCCCTAATCGTGGCCGCTGCGCATGTATCGAGGGACAGAATTACCTTTACACCCCGAACTCTGTTGTTCGTTTGGGAAATTCACGTTTGCACCTGTAATTCGTTGCTGTTTGTGTATCCAAATATAGCGAAATCACGAACTAATTACCAGGCAAACCGTATATTCCTTTTCTAAACGAGATTTGCGTCATCCAGGTATCACGCCACCTGGTCTCAATTACAACTTACCCGTCCCGTGCAAAAGTAGTCTCAATTCCAATCACTCAGGAGGATGTTGGAGTAATCTCATGTCCATCGAACTGGCTGCGTTTCCACCTATCCATCTAGCGGTTTAAGGATGGCAATCTAGGCCACGATGCCAAACCGGTGAACTTAAGGCTCTCAGTGTCATCTTGTGTGCTATCGTGATGAGCGCCTCTGCCATGGCTGAAGAGGCTAATGTTGTACTTTACCACTTTAATCAGGCTACAGCGGGTTTTCATCCCCTAATGTAATCGTCTGGCCTTTGGTCATGTTCGATACGGATCTTGACACCTCGCGTATTCGTCTGATGTTGCCACATCGGTTGACGGTTCAGTGAGATTGCTCGTCGTTACTTGGCTCTGAAAGTTGTTTCATCATGGAATCAGCTACGATCCTACAATGTCTGGCCTACATCTTTTCTCTTTGTGGATAGAGTGCGGGTCTACCCCGAACCCTTCTTCATTCTCTCGGTTTGACTCCTTCAAATTTATCACGGACATGATGTGTATACTGACCATAGACCATGAGCCACTGGTCGCTCGATCGTCGCGTACGCCTTATGGCTTGGCTCATTCCCAGCGATGACCAAATCTGGAAACGAATGCCACCAAATTCACCGTGAATATATCCCTTGGTTTTACAGCTTTCAAGCCATATGACCATTCACAATCCATCGCTATTTTCCCTGGTTGAATCTTTACCACTTCTTGTTACTTTGCTTTCGATCTGAGAGTCTTATTCACCCCATACCGTAGTTTATACTAAGTGAATAATTCTATTTCCAAATAAACTGGATTACGCCCGCAATTAAGGAACGATTGTCACATCACAATAATGATCAAGCCAATTAGTGTTACAGATTTCACTAAGGGTCAAACTGAAAGGCATTTCTTGGGATTTGTAAACCTCTTTCAGCCACCGAAGTTATCGAAACTGAAACCCAAGTTCCTATACACCGAAATCCAGCGACAAACTTTTTGTATTGCTAGATTGCTTAGTGTGTGTCTAATGCGGTTATGTTATGTTTGCGTAGTATTGATGTTGAGCCAACTATGCAAACCACAAACTCCATTGATACAATACGTTGAACAACAGGCCAAGCGCATCGTAGTTTCATACTAATTTTCACACCTGATTATCTTCGCTATCCTGTGTGTCTATGATTTTTTTTAGATGTGATAGGGTACCAAATGCAACATAGTCTACTAGTCGTCCAGTTAAGTACTCCACGGCTGCTTCAATACAAATAGAGTATATTCCTCGATGGTGCGAGGCACAGACCAACTGATTGCTCTGGTCATTATGTACAACGGGATCGCATGGAACGGGTAATATTTATTTGAAATTTTTTTCAAAGTAGTTCCCAAACTATTTTGCTGGGCTGATTGATCGGTTGCATCTTTCAAGTGGATGGATTGGTTGCTAATAATAATAATAATGCAGATAAATCTAAATGTTCTGTTAAAGTAACACAGCGAACCGTGAATTCGTCTCCCGGGAACCTGCTTCCATGTAGGATAGTCTCTCGAAAGGTTTCCCCGCACTTCCATGTCTCTTCTGATGGTGTGCTGGTGTGACTTTAAACCAGGCTTGCCATCACTAATTGTACTCATCTTTAAGGCACTTTTTGTGCATATATATGGACATTGAGGCCATATAGCCCGTACCATCAATCTGTTTTTTGAGTCAAGCACTTTTATTACTCGTCAGGGAGTCTATGGCATCTTGCCTCGCATGGGCTAATTTATTATTTTGTTAGCTAAAATCCGTCACCTCAGGAGTTGTGGCTGACATTGAAGTACGGAAGAATATAGCATGTGCGGAGGTGGAAACGTAATTACTGTAGTGATGATAAATAAGAAATTGTTGCATTAAAGCACCGCCAAGAAAGACAGACAGCTTTATCGATCAAATTGTACGGTGAGATCGCCGTAATACTTGGCTGCTCGGATTTTCGATGTGCGAGGCAATTCTGATAATTCTCCGACAGTTGCCTGTGTTCACAAAATACAGTAGTTACTCTCGCGGAGCACTGGTAATTGCCATATGCTTCTGGGCTATTGCTCTCAGAAAAGTGAAAAATATCTAATAATAAAAGACGAATGTAAAGGCGAGAATGACAAACGAAAAGAAAACAGTTTATTTCTCCTCGGTGAGATACGGATTGTGGTTGATCTGGTTGAATTTTATAAATGGATGGTTGAACACAGTTTCTGGTCAAATTGTCACAAGGAAAGAGATTCCGCATCGATGCATCATTGTCATCCACGGTGTGTAGGAATTGACATCGACGGGTGCCATGAAGCACTCTGTAGTTCTGTGCTGATACCTCGGGACAGGAAAGCGAATGCGTTAGAAATACGGAAAACATTTCGTTCATAAATGTATAGATGTTAAGATGGACGCAGATATTGCCTACGATCTCTTGAACAGGAGACTTTCTAATGCCGTAGCAAGAACCAACCCGGCCGCCCACCCCCACGTACTTGCGGAGACCGCATCCTTTATAGCTCAACGTCTTAAAGTCAGACTGCCAGTGTCGTCCGAATCGTACATTGTTTACCAGTTTACTTGCACCTGTGTGTCAAGTACCTCGGGCATACGACCAGGCGTCTGTCGGTACGGATGGCTGAGCATTGTCCAGGGTCACTGCGGAGAGGTACGCTCAGGAGTATCAACAACTCGATCTTGGAACATTTGTTTCAATGTGGGCATCAGATTTTGACCAAAGATGTCTTCAAGGTCTATTATGCCGTACCGATGCGATACCCGAAGGAGTTAAGGAAACGCCTCTTGCAGACAGCTGAAATCAGCGCGATCCGGTTAACACAACCAGAGCTATGCAAGCATAAGGTGTTTGTGCAATTCCTGACTTTGCCATGGCCCTGATGATAAGTCTTCCCTCTGGGAGTATTACGCATGACCGGGTGCTATTTCTTAATGTAGCTATCTGATTTTTAGTATTTTTTGCCTCTTCTGTTTACACAAGTTGTTTTGCTGTCTGTTGGTCATATCACGATGTCACCTGATTACATCGATTTGAGCTTCGAACGAACATGCTAAATCTGTTCAAACCGTCCCATCCGTCCTCATTGCTGCCTTCACCAGTTTACGGTTGCATTTATCAGTTTTGTAGCTGTAATCGCCTGATGTGAACTACCGAAAAGAGATCTCTTTGCAATGCTGTGTTTTACTTTTCCATGGGCATTATCTACGAACCACAAATATCGTCAAAATTTGCTAGCTAAATCTATTTGTTTTGCAGGGCTCAGTGTTCTACTTTCCTGTATTGTTGCGCCGCAGGCCAGAATGGTTTCTTGAGGCCAACAGTTACGGGGTGTCAGAATGTTGGATACGGGGGGGGGATAAGATGGTTGCAATTGATACCATACCTTAGAAATCTGCTAGACCGTTTTCGTATGCCATCTCCTCCGTGACATTTTGTCTCAACGACTCGGTGGCCTTTACAACAGTTACCAAGGTGTAGGTGATTTACATTCTCCTAGCTTGAACGGCAGTCTGTTCCATATCTTTGCATAAACGTTCAGGTAAAAATTCGTAAGTGCCTGCTTTCTAGGCCTTTCTATTTTTGGCTGTTTGTGGCTGTCTCCAATACTATAGTTTGACCTATCTGAATTTCAAATCCAGGCTTGGGGCATGAACTCCTTTGTGTATGATATCGGATCAGAGACATATATTACATTTCATCTACCTGAGTCATACCGGGTCTAATTTTAAGGTCTTGCAGCGCTGTGGATAAAAGCTTCGTGAGGACAGAAGATTCATAATTTCGGAAGGTTTTAGCATACCTTTAGTTTGGTATAAACTCGTACAGCGGGCACACTTCGCTCTTGACCTAACCTGTAGAAGCTCTTGTGTCAAGAACGAAGCGTAGCCACAAACTAAGTGTATACAAAACCGATTTGTATTCTAAGACCTGAAATTACACCACAGTTGCTTTTACCGTATGTGTATGTGAACCACATGCTGAGGCTGATCTTGCATTCTTGATGCTTCTTCACCGCAGTTGGGCTAAACCAACTTACACTTAAACTAGGTCTTTTTAAGCTAGATAAATTTCATTCCGCTTTATTTGGTTTGTTCTGCCTCCCTGAATAATGTTCTATTAACTGGTCACGTTGCTTACACTAACTGCGCTTATCTTCGGTAATTTTGTTGCGTTTGTAGCATTTTTAAGTAACTTGTGGACATTTCTTACTTATCACGGATTTGTTGCTAACCAACTTACTTCATATGGTAATTTAGCGAAGAGTTATGCCACCGTATCTGTATGCATTATTGGATTTATTTTATTTCAGCTTGTCGTTTAAAGCGAATGGATGTTGTTTGATATCCCCGGTGTGGTTGCGCTTGATGTGTATGTTGACAAGGTGCCTACCTGTCTATTACCCACTACATCGTTCATACTGGCTCCAGGAGACAGTTGGTCGTTGCTGGATGGGACGGGGTGCACGGTTCTTGTGGCCGTGCTAGGCTCAAAGAGCGGTTCCATGCAGTCAGTGTGGAGCTGACTACGGTCCAGCCACCGCCTTGTGTGCGCTTGATTCCCCAAATACTGCGTGCTTGTGTTTGCCTGTGAAGGAGTGTGGGCCGGCTCCGTTGATGAAACGGGGTTCCCATCCGCATGCCTCCCGGTCTTATTCCTTCGGGTTTACACTGGATATGGGGTATGTGGTTGGAGCTGTGGGTGGTGCAGCGCAAGCCATCCATGGTCCCTCTGTAGGCGCAGGCGTCCTGTGGCTTGCCACAGTGACAGACAAATCCGAAACTGGATGCCGCCAACCATGTGAACCACAGGGAAGCGTTGCACAAGGGGAACGACAATCATTTGATTCATCGATGTGCACTTGGAGAATACAGATACTATTCTAGGCGTGATAAATACTACGTGGGATGAACAGAAAAATTGGCCCAAGACTTTATAAACACCATCTAGCTATTCACCAAACCATCCTTTCGGTTTGTAAGACGCTGTCAACTTGGACGAGCACAAATTCAGCCATTGTGTGTGTGCCTTTATCGTTACCTGGCAGTTAAAGCAGTGCTCAATTGACGATAGGCATTTGGAGTGACTTGAGTAGCACTGCGAAACAAGCCCTCGAAGCCACACTTATGATGTGAAATGCAGACATTGTTTATTTCTCAAAAACACGAGATGCTGAGAGCTACGTTTACACTTTACTACATCCAATGTGTAGTTGTGAACAGATTTGTGCTATATCTCAGACTAGGAGCCGCAAATTATAGATTCATTTGCTGAGACAACATTACGTAAAAGTCAGACAATGGATAACCGCAAGTATATCTGCTTTCAGGTTCACGACGAAGGTTTGAAACTGGCTTGCAACAACACAGTGTTTCTCGGTTGATTGAGACGGTTCCATGGATGGCTGTATTACTCCAATTCAACATTTGGATTTATCTACACTTATTATTTTTGATAACCTGTCAATCTTCCTGAAAGACACCCGATCAATTAGCCGTGTTTCCAGAAATAGGTTTAACAACTGGTCTGAGGAAACTCGATACAAATAAGCTGTTCCATGCGATCCTGCTGTATAAAATGATCAGGACATTCACTTAGACTGTGTCTCACATTGTGGAGGAATATACCGTTGTTTTTATTCTCCACCACTCCTTATTGCCTCAAGTTACTTCTGAACTCAGAGTATGCTATTCACATGGAAATAGATATTACGTATTTTATCAGCACTCGACACATTGCGAGTGCATCGTTTGCGATTACTTCCATGTGATGCTTGTAAATTTCTCCGGCTGATGCCTGTCACCGTTGCTAACCCCGACAGTTCATGTTATTCGGTTATGGTATTCGTTATGGTATAATTCATTCTAACGTCCTCCGTTCTGTACATTGCTACTGTATGCAGCATAGGATAGCTTGTACATATTTGCCCCTACTGAGTGTTACTACGGTCCGTCATTGTTGTGGTCTTAGCTTGCTCCGAGTTTAGTGGCTTCTCGCAATCTCCCAACTGATGCGTCGTGACATGTCAGAGGACACGAGATACTAGGCGAGTAAACTGTCGGACAAATTACTGCTGGCAAGAAAGGTAAGTGCCCAAAGCACAGACTACACTCGATCGCTGAAACGTATGATTTTGTATGAAGTGAAAGTTTCGCAGATGTTGCATATGATTGTTTGCCAGGTGGCAAGAACAATATTCCGCTGAACAAATTAAACACGTTTTCATGAGTTTATGGGAACATTCCGTTTCTGTACACGCTCACCTGTAGTCATTTGCGCACCACTCGGGACTTGCTGGTTGTTCGCTTTTTTAGTGAACAGTTGCAAAGTCCGAAGGCATCAGCAGTATGTCGGCACGCAGTGCCGACGCTTTGCTTCAGCGCAAACACCACCAGTCGCACGTGGATTAATGATACTGCAGAGGTCGTCCAGTCCCTCACGCAGTCTCGAACGCGTGACCTCAGCATTACAAGGCACACTTGTGATCCTTAAGGCCACGGATCGGTAAAGTTCGAACATACTTTTGTGTCTGTCTGAATTCGAGTTTTCCGAATCGTAGGCTTTAGTCGGGTTAGTTTGACCGTAACCCTAACAATCCTCCTTAATACTCCACTTAACCTTCTGCTTTCCCTGTCTCTTGCAGCTCAATTCTCGTTGAAATTTTACTTCAGTTCGGTAAGTTTGGCTCTGGTACACATCTTGTGCTGCCAGTCTCATGTCATATACTTCTCTGTATTTTTTTGCTCAAATGTAGCCACCTGTGAAGTCATTACGTAGCTACTCTCACCAAGAAGCTCAGTGATAATATAACTTACTTAGATCACAGCTTAGAGATCACTGAAAGCACATAAATGTTCGTACCGAAAGCGACTTCTTTTGTCCCCCGTGCTGTCCATTAGGTCACGAGTATGTTTCTTCCCGATAACCCATTTTCCACTCGTAATTTCTAACTAAGTCCTTGGTCCCTGGCTATCAGTTGACCGAACCGCTGTAGCTCTACTTTCCTCCGCCTTCGAACTCTCAACCACGCCTCCGTGGACTAAGGCTTGGAGCTCTCCTTTTTTGTTTTAGTTCTATACTTTCGTATGGTAAACCTCAGAAGGAAGTATCGGCAACCCACAGTTCGTCGTGTGGGAACGATGTCGACGAAACTCTCAGCACATTATGGCTTTGACATTTTTGAAAGAAATCAGTCATGGAGTGTAGTCCTGAACTCAACTACAGTTACAGCTGATCTCCATGCACACATAATACGTGTGGGTTTGGCGACTCCAGTAATGTTTCTGCACTGTGGTCGATACCTCGAGTTTCTTACTCAGGTGGGCTGTTGGCTATATTACTGTCGTTTCCAGATGACGTCGACAGTCATATGAATCGCACTATGCAAGCCTCAGTCGATATTCCAACCACATACCCATTCATCAGATGTGGGCATGGAGTTTCTCAAACCCATCAGTCGGCGCTTTTGTCGCACTTACGTCCTACTAACCACCTTTTTCATCACTGGTTTTTTTGCAACGGTAAATTGGACTTGGTCCATTGGTTACTCGGTTACAACTAACAAATACGAGATCTTCGGTTGTATAGGCAGACCGTGCCTCCAAGTCAGTGATAGGAGCCGTTCACGTTTTTTCGTTTCTCTAGGCTGGAAGGTCCATCTTATTGTCTCGGAGTTTTACTAAGCCATCTTATCAGATAACTCACAACGTTCCCACATCTCCCGAGGTAAAGGAATTTGTTCACGGCTTCTACTGGACCGCACAAATGGGTGAAGTTATCATCAGCCTACTTTTAGCAGTGAAATCGCATCGTAATGTTGATACACGTCAAGCCTGCTCGAAGCGCTTTGGGTAGTCTACAATGATTCGCCAACTGCAGATGCAATGCCACTGGTAGCCCAGCCCAGCCCAGCAAAGTTTTTTATTATCTCGGGTCCAGTCTCACCTAACTCGACGTACTACACGTGAACGATGCCAAACAGGTGGGTGATATGACCCGAACTATTCGAGCGTCACTTTTGACAGTTAAAGGATATGGGTATTCAACACACAACACGACTGGGCCCCTAGTTTTGGGTCACTGTTCTTCGAGAATGTCGTCACACTTGACAGGCACGCTACTTTTGTCTGAACGCCTCTAGAGATTATCCCCAACAATTGGCACATTCTTTGCTCATATGCTCAAAATGATAACGATGACCGGTCTCCTTGTCATTTGACGATGATCGCCATCTTTGCAGTGCTCGCAGCCTGTCTTATGAGTATTCCTGAGCGATTCATTTTTAGTTGTGCACTCTGGTCAATGTGTACCCTGACCAATTTTATGCGTAGCCTTATTTCGCACACTGTCATTGGCACACGTAACCTGTTGTCGCGCGCCGTTATCTAACCGCTAACAATCAAGGCGTATTGCCACTCCAAGCAGCTGACGGTGTGCGATTGCTTGGTCGCTACATTCTTTACAAGGGCAGTGACTCGTCATCACTGATTCGACTCCCTCCCGAGTCACTTAGCCTTCATACTGCTTTAGTTGACTTTTAAAATATTTGCATAACGCTGCTTATGTTTGATGAGTGCCAACTCGGGCTGGGATTTCATTTCTAAATTGTTTGAACAGTCAAACAGCTAATGTACTACTGGGATTAGCCTATTATCTGTAACCTAGTCCTAAGTTATCAATTTGACTGACCGTTTAGTGCATTCGCTCACCCAGTACCACTCATATTCTTGTTCCTGTTGCATACGCTTTCGCCCATCCGCATGCCATCAGGTGTCACGTTTGCAAACAGTAACACGGATCCGTATAATTGCATACAACTTATTCATCGATACTACACTCCGACGGACAATACACTCAACGATTTGAACGGTACAATTTATTGTACTGTGGGTTGCCAGCGTGACTGGTCTGTCCATCACATTCGCGGAACGAACTTGAAACTGCTCGTTGCGGATCGTCGATGTCCCGTATGTGATTCCCTGGACAAAAAGCTGCCGAGTGACCCGGTCGAAGGTATGTGGATTGATCTGGTTTTCCTTTGAATACCCTTCGCCTCCACGGATTCTCTCTGAAATATACTCATATTCTCCAAATCGTTTCAGACAACGGTCCGGATGTGTGTGAAGAAGCCGCGAATCCCCGTTATCGTCGCTTGCTAGATAGATGTCCCATTGAGGATTCGGAGGAAGATACCCCGACTTGTAGGGGACCTAGCAGGAAGCAGTCTGTCTTCCGAGTCTGTGGCTTTTTGTTACTGATACACCTTTATTTTTCGGCCTATTGAGCCAACACTTCAGTCCCAATTGATATTGTTAAAACCAGAGTAGTCTTCAATTCTTGTTTTAATGTCATCCGCTCTATTTTACCAAGTACAGCCTTGCTTATTCTAGAGCATACAGTTTCTTCGCACTTACTCCAAACAGCCTGCAGTCAAATCAATGGTTTCAGCTGTTATTGGACTGTTGGGACGAATGACACAATTCCATGTGATTCGATGAGAACTCAACGCAACGCTGAATTGCTAGGTGTTGCCCCCCTCTCACACTCTGCGACCGGTTTGGTGCCTGTGTGCACTCCTCAGGTAGAGACTGTAAAGCTGCCACTCGAATCCGGCAAACTGTGTTCCCTGGCTGGCGCCTTTACTCCCTCCCCAACGCACCCCGTGAGTAACAGTTTGTTTGCTTTTGAAGTACTTGTTGTGCGGATGAACTGTTGCACGCGAGCTCAATCGGGACCGCGATTCACTTTTCGTTTACCGTCCCATCGCCTGGATTGACCGAAATTCTTTTCAGAGGTGATCCGACATCCCACCTGTGACTGCGTGTCCCCCATCCATCCACAAACTGGTGCCCAATCAATAAGCTAGCATTGAGAGCACAAGTATTTGGACATTCACCAACACGACGGGATTTGAGGCTTCTTTCAAATTGTCATATCAGTGGTTGGAAAAGATTCCGTTGACTTACTTCCACGACGACGTTGTAATCAATGGCATTGTGATACAGTGCCCACGTTATGAAGCACGCAACATCATCTTCGCTTGCTCCGATGCCACTTAGAGAGAACCTGGAAAGTGTGTGTGGGGATGAATGTCAACACTGAGTCAGCTTGTTAAACGGTATCACATTGGGGCTACACGGCAAATTGTCTTTCAACATCCTTTATCTCTAAACCGTTTCCCACTTGTTCGCAACGCTAGCACTTTCAGGAAATCCAGGTTACTGTCCTTCGCATTTTCCCAAATTAGTTCATACGCGAGTACTGAATGTCGATCTGGTCCAGTAAGGAGCGTGGTCCTTGCTAGACAGAAATTTCATTAACATATCCGCGTCAGGAATCAAGTGTCAGTTGAATCCACATTCATTTTGAGCGTGTTCTAACTAGTGTGACGCGATCTTGAAAGTCACCAACTACCATTCTCATTGCTCTCGAAGTTGCGTTCCATCACATACTGATTGTCGGTTACCCTCGTAATGTAAGATAACTCAGTCCTTCTTTGCACTGAGGTACCGATTTCAGGTATACAAGCAGTCAGGTGGGATCCTCACAAATTATGAATTACTACATCTGTGCACGTTGGCAGGAATATGGAAATTACCACTGCCTTTAGTGTATCCCTTTCTTAACGGGCGACAGCAATAACAGTATAGCCGAATACGGATCTCCCAGTGATCATCGATTATTTGTCCATTTTGTTTAAATAACTGATGCTCAACACTTTGTGTTTTCATCGACCTAGTAGTGCCTTCGAACTCTCGCTGGAGTAGTGTTTTGCACTACCGACTGCGGATTTTATTTGTGTCTGAGACAAATTGATTTTCTGCACTAGCACCTAGGTCAACCATGAATCCGTGCTTCATCGAAATCAGAAGCACCTTTAAACGAATTATGTAGAAACGACTTCGTAACAAAAAAGCGAAAGTATCGTACTGGATAGCAATCTCGCCTCAGTACTTGGTCGGTTGATAACATACAAGTCCCACTGACACTTTCCAGTAATGTGCTCTCGCTTCTTGGTAAAATTAGTGCGCCCGGTACCATTATGCAACGAAATAAGTATGTAAATACAAGAATCATTCTGTTAGAAGAAAGTGATGTGTAAACGAGTCATACAGCTTGCTGGTTAATTTCCCATCATGTTTGATCACCCTGAAAAGCCCTAGCTTCGTGGTGGTCGCGTCCTAACTTACGTTAATCAACATTTGTACAACTCAGCAACCTTATTATTCACATTACCACTTCTATACTCTAACATTTAATTGAATGCAAATCGAAGTTCTTAAGTGGCTTTCAATCGAGCATTGCTCCTGACACGTCTGCATTAGAGTTGAACCTTTTTGAGGACCGAATTCCTTCATCGCTACCGCCAAAACTAGTTTGTTCTATCTGTAGTGTTGCTGGCGACTTTAACAGAAAGGATACAATATTCCCGAGGACATTTTGCCTGGTATTTCTAGTGACCTTTTCGACCAGGGAAGACACCAACTTGGACGTTGTATACACAAATAAACGGCAATTGTTTTCCACACAAAACGGGCTCCTTTGAGCAGCTCAGATCACTATGTTTTAATAGTGTCCAGTCTTATGACTAAACGTCTTTACACGATTATTAAAAGTTGAAACTGCTCCTTTGAAAATATTACAAGGCCCCAGACGATTTTTCAGTGTTAAACAACGAGGACCTGTCACTTCAATATGACCATCTTGCGGACGGCATCATAGCGTGTTGCCCTATTGAAACAATCTACCTGAGGGCGGATAGATTTTCATCGCCATTGCTAAAACGACTTGGAAGGATGAAAATACGGGCTTACAGGTTCCAGATGGCTACTCATGTGAAAAGTCTAACCTCAGCAATTAAATGAGATTATAAATCTAAGCCACCTAGTAGGTTGTTAATAAGACTACGTTTGAGTAATCCTAGCAACCACGTAGGTTGTATGGGCAAGTAATCGAAGCGACAGGAAGGACACGCGTAGACAAGCTACAGTGTACTGACACTCTGGGCGGAGATCATCACCTGTCTTCTTGGGGAAGGTGGAGACGGACAACTGCACACATGTATGCGTAATGTGAGAATGTTTATAATCCGTCCCGGAGATATTAATCTATCATCGACGTTGCACGGGCTGTAACAGCTAGGTAAAGATGGATGTCGCTGGCACACTGACGCTACATGGGACACAGAGAGCATTTGCTCAGATGCACCATAGCCGACGGGATACCGCCAGAAATGTTGAAACTTGACGGATCTGCATTAATACATGTGCTTCACCACTTGCTGCGACGCGTGTGGTTCGAAGGAGAAGTACCGGTTGTTTTGAAGACTGTGCCGTAGCAAATGGAGCGAGGCGGTTCACCCCGGGTGGCATCTTTAGCGCAGACAAGTGTTCGATGCCGAGTGTGGACTAAGAAATTTTTATATAAGCTGGTAGTTGTGTATTGCAGCAAGGCTGTAGATAACCAGAAAGTCATTTACTCCATCTGTCACACCTGCTTGTCGTCTGTTCCTGATAACGTTTGCGCACATCTTTCCCGTTAGACGTCGCTCCCATTGCACTTATTCATGGATGTACTGCATTGTCGCCCATAAAGCGTTATACAGTGGCCACGTCTGTACTACTGACGCAGGAGATGCGCGCGAATTTGAAGAATTGGTAGAGCCCCGATAACATGCACCTCGACCGCTTCTACGGACATCGATCTGGGGCCTGTTAATACTACCCATGAAATTCCCACTATGCTTCTTCGGCAGAAGTCTACTGCTTGGTACGAATATAAAAGCTGAAGCTGGAAAGTTGACAACAAACTAGTTTTCTCGGTATTTTCGAACATGGATAGTGTATTCTCCGTCCAGGAGGTCTCTATGTTGCTTCTGCTGCGGACTCCTGTCAGCTGAGCCGTCTAGTTTTCTACTGATGAGGGTTTCATGAACTGGTGGAAATCAAGTTAAAAGTATTTGAGCGGGAATCTAGTAGATCACTTGCTCCGGTACTCTTCAACTGCATAGCCAGAGATCCGGTTGGTTGGAAGAAACTCAATTAGTAGATTGGAGAATGCATCTATGGTATGATATTCTGGTTAGGTCACTGGATTTCGTTAGATTTCTCGCCAAGCGGAACATGAAACTGTGTGGTCACCGGGAAGACGTCCAAGATGATAAAGGAACCACGCAAATATGGACATTTTTTAGAATTGGTACATTTCCTTCGTGAAAATTTGGTGACAGTTCGGCTTGGAGAGGTACTCAGCACTTCTTGTTTGTCTCCAGAGGTTCAAGAGGAATTTATGCGCATTTTGGAAGCACGTGTGAGAAGGCATTCATAGACCAAATTAGGGGAAGCAAGTATTTTTTCCCAATCGTTATAGTATTCTCAGTATCTCACAAAGCATCAGGTGATTGAGGTGTTGCGTTACTTGGAAATGGATGAATACGAAGTGACGCTTGTGGGCTCGTTTTTCCGCTTCACAGATACCAACAGCAACCGCAGAGAAAATTTCCGTCCTGATTTTGAGAGAACTAGAGCGGAATGGAACCCATATTGATAACTGCTTTGGCCGGGCATTTGACAACGCTACTGCAATATGGTAGGCTACTGCTCGGGTTTCCATAGACGCACGTGCGAAATCAGCCCAAAAGCTATATGCGTGCCATGCCATGCACTCTCACCGAGGCTCCCCTACGCTACTCTACGCTATTGCATGCCACTCAACTACGCACTGATGATGTCACCTCGATTGGTGACGAAACGTTTGCAACAAAATTGCCAAGCTCAGCGAGCAGTTCAACAGCCACAAGCCATTCCCTGAACTTGGCCTGTGTGCATGCAGCTTCGACGGTACAATCTGTTACATTTGGCTTCGTTATTCTCGTTCTTTTCTACATCTGCGTATCGTTGGGACGTCTTGCTTCGAGTGACTGATCTAAGTATCAAGCGGGCTATAGCAACTAGACGGAGTAATCGAGCAGACGATGTAAATGTTGCGACGGAGAAATGTTCGGAAATCGTTCACATGAGGGGAACATAAAGCCCCTAGATCAGATGCATCTTTAGTTCTCATCTCGGTACTGTCTTTTCCGTTGCTTCCGACTCTGGGCCGTTGTAGATTTGTTTTCTCCTAAATCCATGATGCACAGAACTATACTAAATAAAAGGGTTGGATCTGCAACAAATTTCTATCAAGCTCACAACGCTAATAATTTGCTTCTCCAGTATCAAGAGCAGATAGTGGACAGTGCAATGGACTAATCCAAAAACTGCTCTGAATTGGGGATAAGCATGGGCTTTGAATCTGCAAAAAGAAACGAACAGATGGTGAAGAATTATTTGTTACGTCGGTGAGATTTGACACTGAATTGGAACGGGCAATGCTGTCTTATACACGGGTTGA